CTTGTGGCCTGGGGACATGGGCTCATCGCAGCCACATCCTGTTCCCATTGCCCTGTCAAATTCAATAGACTCTTCGACTTTCTTTCATTTTCTTGAACACTATAGTGTTTCGCCCATTTATGGACCATCTCACAGGCTGATTTTTAATTTAATTTTTAAATCGACAAAAATTTCATGTCTTTACTGTGTACTACTTCATATTTCAAAGTAAACAACATACTGCAGAGGGACTACATCAAGCTAATTAGCATATACATTATCTTGTTTAAAAATATTCTATTTATTATTTTTATTTTATGTGTATGAGTATATTGCCTGCATGTATGTGAGTGCACCCATGTTGTGCAATGCTGAAGAAGTCAGAAGAGAGCTTCAGATTCCCCTGGAACTGGAGTTAAGGACGGTTTGTAGGTGCCATGTGGGTGCTGGGAATCGAACCTGCAAGAGCAGTCAATGCTCTTAACCCCTGAGCCATATATATTTCCTTTTAAAAATTATTTATTTTATGTGTATGAGTGTTATGCCTGTACGTGTGTAAGTGCACCTGTGTCGTGCAGTGCCTGTGGAGGACACAAGAGGGCATTGGATCCAGTTGGAACTGGAGTTACAGATGGTTGTTAGCCACCATGTGGGTGTTGGGGATCAAACCTGAGTCCAAGAGCATCCAGTGCTCTTAACTTCTGAGCCTTTCCAGCCCCCATATACGTTATCTTACACATTGCTTGGTGCTTTTGAAGAACAGGATGCCTTGTATTAACTGTCCTCATGGTGTCCTGCGTGGGTCTCGATCTGCTGCTCTTGTCTAGCTGAAGGTTTGTGTCCTCTCACTAGCGTTTACATGTAGCTTTCTCAGTGCAAGATGCTCCATGTCCCTGTCTGCTGGGTGTGGAGAATTTACACCCGTCTTGTCTCTCAGGTCTCACTGGAAGTCCTCTTCCCCTGACTTCCCAGGAAGGGAAGCTCCTCTCTCACTTGCCCCTGAGATTCCTGCACTCACCTCAGTCATGTTCATCTTGCTCTGTAGCTGTGTATCGGACAATTATTCTGTCAACACGAGTCCTCTTTCAGAGGATAGAGACTGTGTCTTCTGTATGTGGAGTGATGGGATCACAGAAGGCTTCTCTAAAAGACAAATAAGGAATCAAAAGAATGTTGAAGAATGGATGAAGGAAGGAGAGGGGATGATGGGGAAATGTTGGTCTGAGGTCACAAAATCTCATTTACACATGAATATGGGCTGGAGGGCAATTGTGCAATATGTTTAGTAACTTTGTAGTTGTAAGCTTGGAAACTGTTGAAGGGGCAAAGCTTTCTGCTAGTCCCCCTGCCACCAAATAACTATGCGAGGTACTCCACATATTCATTAGCTTGATTTAGCCATTCCATAATGTATACTTAGATCATTTCATCATATTGAAAACCATAAGTGTGAACATTTATATTTTCAGTTGACACAATGTATATATTTATGGGGTACATTCTGTTGTTTCAATACATATGTAACATGTCATGATCAAATCTGAGCAATTAACATGCTAATTTAAAAAAAAAGTGAATCATAAATGAGTGAACCCCCCTCAGTGCCCTTGTCCTGTGACAGGGACTTTTGTGACTTTGATAAGACCTTCCTGAAGCAATGTTTTTACTTCCAGGCTCAGTTCTCTTCCTGAGGCCTCACACAGCCTCACTTGAGACAGAACCAGACCTTATGTCTCCTTGTGTCCTGGTGACCTGGGCTCATCGCAGCCACACCCTGTTCCCATTGTCCTGTCAAGATCACTAGACTCTTCAACTTTCTTTCATTTTCTTGAACACTATAGTGTTTCACCCATTTATGGACCATCTCACAGGCTGATTTTTAATTTTTAAATCGACAAAAATTTCATGTCTTTACTGTGTACTACTTCATATTTCAAAGTAAACAACATACTGCAGAGGGACTACATCAAGCTAATTAGCATATACATTATCTTGTTTAAAAATATTCTATTTATTATTTTTATTTTATGTGTATGAGTATATTGCCTGCATGTATGTGAGTGCACCCATGTTGTGCAATGCATTGCTTGGTGCTTTTGAAGAACAGGATGCCTTGTATTAACTGTCCTCATGGTGTCCTGCGTGGGTCTCGATCTGCTGCTCTTGTCTAGCTGAAGGTTTGTGTCCTCTCACTAGCGTTTACATGTAGCTTTCTCAGTGCAAGATGCTCCATGTCCCTGTCTGCTGGGTGCAGGGAATTTACACCCGTCTTGTCTCTCAGGTCTCACTGGAAGTCCTCTTCCCCTGACTTCCCAGGAAGGGAAGCTCCTCTCTCACTTGCCCCTGAGATTCCTGCACTCACCTCAGTCATGTTCATCTTGCTCTGTAGCTGTGTATCGGACAATTATTCTGTCAACACGAGTCCTCTTTCAGAGGATAGAGACTGTGTCTTCTGTATGTGGAGTGATGGGATCACAGAAGGCTTCTCTAAAAGACAAATAAGGAATCAAAAGAATGTTGAAGAATGGATGAAGGAAGGAGAGGGGATGATGGGGAAATGTTGGTCTGAGGTCACAAAATCTCATTTACACATGAATATGGGCTGGAGGGCAATTGTGCAATATGTTTAGTAACTTTGTAGTTGTAAGCTTGGAAACTGTTGAAGGGGCAAAGCTTTCTGCTAGTCCCCCTGCCACCAAATAACTATGCGAGGTACTCCACATATTCATTAGCTTGATTTAGCCATTCCATAATGTATACTTAGATCATTTCATCATATTGAAAACCATAAGTGTGAACATTTATATTTTCAGTTGACACAATGTATATATTTATGGGGTACATTCTGTTGTTTCAATACATATGTAACATGTCATGATCAAATCTGAGCAATTAACATGCTAATTTAAAAAAAAAGTGAATCATAAATGAGTGAACCCCCCTCAGTGCCCTTGTCCTGTGACAGGGACTTTTGTGACTTTGATAAGACCTTCCTGAAGCAATGCTTCATCCACTCTTTCTTTCACCAGATTGAGGCAGATGAGGCTTTTAGAGCCTTGACACCTGGCAATGCAAAGAAGGCTGAGGCAAGGGTAGAAAATGTAGAAGAAACCTCAAAGGCCGTGGTCAGCAGAGGCCCCTGGAGCAGGCAGGGAGGGGGCAGGCTCCACATCAGGCATGCTGAGACTTCCCAGGTGAACCTGAGTCAAACCCAAGAACCGGAGTCTCTGTCCTTATTGTGAGGCAGGGGAAATAACCAAAGTGATAGAACTGAAGTGTGTGCAAAAATGGACAGGGAGGGCATCGTAAAGCCACTATGCAATCATGGCTGGACAACCTGACATTTTCTGAGTGTGGAACGATGTGTCTGAATTGATTTTGCATTTGGGGGATTTCCTTTGTGGACACTGAGATTCCTGCTCTGTTCCCTCCTAGCACACAGGCTGAAACCCTCCATCTTGGCTGAGCCAGGCCTCACGATCCCCCTGGGGAAGTCTGTGACCTTTGTGTGCAAGAGCCCTTCGGCATTTGAGCTATTCCGTCTGGAGAAGGGAAATGATGAAATCAAGAATAAGGCAAACAATCAGTCTTCTGAAAGAGAGGCCCGGTTCCTGCTTGAGGCAGTCAGCAAAGATGCTGCTGGACATTATCACTGCATCTATTACACAGGGACCTCCTGGTCTGAACGCAGTGAGACCGTGGAGCTGAAGGTGACCAGTGAAGACGTTACCCAGGCCCCTGCCCCAGGCTCAGGAGGGACTTCAGGTCAGTCTCTAGGTCCCTGGACTCTGTCACTAGCTTCCATTCCCCTGCCTCAGCTTCTCTTGCTTCCTCCTGACCTAAATATGCCTCCCCTTCCTCCTGCACACGTGTTCCATTTGTGCTCAGACTCCAGGGCCCTAGAACCCCGCTCTCATCTGACATCAAGAATGACCTGGGCACAACCCCAGGTGAGTAAACACAGAGGTGGCTCTGATGGCTGGGTGGGGGACTCAGTTTCAGACATTAGAGAATGTAAATCCCTCTCAAGGGGAACCTACCTTTTCACTGGCAATGTCATGCTAAGCTTCCAGTTAGCCACAGCCTGTGGTTGCCCCAGGAATATGCACTCTCTGGTGTGGTCCCTTGTCGCTATCTCATGGTCCAGGGATGGCTGCTGAACAGGACCGCAGCTTCCAGATGGGATGATCCATGTTCTGTGTGTAGTTAGGCCCAGGATGTTGTGGGCTTGGGAGGAGGATACAGCCCATGACCATGTCCTCCACATGGCCTCCTAGGATCTACCCAGTGTTGATTCTCTGAGTTCAAACAGAGAAGATGGGGAGAGTGGGGGCAGAAGGAAGGACTGGGCCCCAGCAGGATGGACCAAGGAAGGGCTCTACCAGTGTACTTATTTCCCTGTCCTGCCTGCTCTGGGAATCTCTCATTGTCTGGGATGAAGTGATGCACAGTCATATCGTCTGTCCGTGTTGTTCTGGCTGGAGAATGACTCTAAACAGTTCCCCAGATAAACCTTCAATCCTTCACTTGTCCCTTTTTATAGAAACCCTTTGAAGTCATAGATCTGCTACTTGGAGCCCTTCCTTTCCACAGGCAACTAAGTCCTCATCTGGGAGTGGGGGCAGGGAGGTGATGTTTACTAGGGGCTTTATGGTGGGTTGAGACTCTTCTCAATCTTCTGCCCTAGCATTGGAGCCAGGCACCAGGACAATCCCAGTAAGGGACTGCGTGGCCAGGCACTGGGATGTCACTGATATTCAGAACTCCCTGCCAGGTGCTGTTAAAGTGCCAACAGCCCTATAAGGCACACAGCAAGCTGGCCCTCTATTCTCTCTCTTCCTATTTTTTAACTGTGTGTAAGTGCCTTGCCTGGTATGTATGTAAGTGTACCCGTGTTGTTCAGTGCTAGCAGAGGTCAGAAGAGGCCATCAGATTCCCCAGAACTGGAGTTCAGATGGTTGTTAGCTACCATGTGGGTGCTGGGAACTGAACCCGGGTCCTCTGCAAGAGCAGCCAGTGCTCCTAACGGCTGAGCTATCTCTCCAGCCACCCCCTCCTATTTTTAATACACAGAAAATTAACTGTCTTGGTCAAAGGCAAAGAGGTCTAGGGCAGAACCAGTTCTTGCAGCCACATCCCGGATCTCAGACTTTGTGCAGCTCTGTGCTGCCCCCTTGTGGGCTGGCTCACTATTCATCTTGTCCTGTGTGTGATGGAGACACTTAGAACCCACTATCCAGACTCAGGCTCTGTGAGAGTGAAAGGGAACTCCTCTCAAGGATGGAAGGACACCGGAGGGGAAAGTGCCACGGGGAGGGTGTGGCCTGTGAAAGAGGACTAGTCTCTCTGGTTCGGTCTGGCCTGCTCTGAGATGTGGAACAAGATTTTCCCACGCCTCCTGTCTCAGGCTGTTTCACTGCACCGTTCCCTGGGCTCTGTGGCCGCGACCTTCCAAGGAGGCCGAGGTCATGAGCAGTCTGTGGACCATCCGACGGGGGCCTTGTTACTTTTACTATCTGTGAGGCTAAGCTCTGCCAGGCAGGTCGGTTGGGAGCCAGAGCCACAGGGTGTGGGGAATTAGAGAGGACCAAGCTTTTGCTTGATGCAGGCCCTTTCGTGTGCTGTTGTGGGGTGCATCATGATGTGTTTCTCTGCCAAGTAGACCTGGATCACCATTCAGTTTTTAAAAAAATATTTTGTTTATTATTTTTATATTATGTGTACATGTGTATTGCCTGCATGTAGGTGAGTGCCCCCATGTCGTGCAATGCCTGCAGAGGACAGAAGAGACTGTCAGATCCCCTGGAACCGGAGTTATGGACAGTTGGTAGCTGTCCTGTGGGTGCTGGGATTTGAACCAGGGTTTTCTGCAAGAACAGTCAGTGTTCTTAACCACTGAGCCATCTCTCCAGCCCCTCAGTTTTTGATTTCACAGCAAATGTTGTCTCACTTTGGGTGCACCAAGCGTGAAGGTGTGGCAGACTGGACCCTCACTGTGAATGAGAACTGGGCCTGTGTGTATGAATGCTATTGGAGAGCTAATTAGGATGACTCACAGGAATACATTCAGTGTATACAAAGTAAAAGTATAATGTAAATTTCAGATCTAAAGTATATAGCATATTGAATTATTTTACATTATATAAGCAATGTAATTAATATAGCAATATAATGTATCATAATATATGTGATTACATATTAATGTCATATGTTATATTGTTTGTAATATATAACTTAATAAGGGGCTGGAGAGATGGCTCAGCGGTTAAGAGCACTGACTGCTCTTGCAGAGGATCCGGGTTCGATTCCCAACACTCACATAGTGGTTAACAACTACTTGTAGCTCCAGTTCCAGGGAATCTGACACCTTCTTCTGACCATCACGGGCATTGCATGACATGGGTGCACTTACACACATGCAGGCAATACACTCATACACATAAAAGAAAAATAACAATAAAATATTGAAAAAACAGATAACTTAATAGGTATTATATATCACCATAACTAACATGTGGATAGATGTAATACATTACATGTTAAATGTGTATAATTTATGTGCTTAAAATAGAACACATAGTTTTTAGTTATATATAAGTTGTTTCTATACTTTGAATTATATTATGTAAGTTAACATTATATAATTTTAACTGTGCATTTTTTTTAGTCTTTTTTGAGACAGGGCCTCCCTGGAGCCCCAGCTGGCCTGGAACTCAGGAACTCACTATGTAGACCAGGCTAGCCTTGAACTCCCAGAGATATGCCTACCTCTGCCTCCCGAGTGCTGGAATTAAAGCCGTGCGCCACCACGCCTGGCCCCAACTGCATTTCTGTATATTCTATCTGAATGTCTACAGTTGCAAATCACTTAACAATGGTGCTGTGTTCTGGGAAATGTGTTCACAGTCACATGATCGTGTATGTCACCTCACTGTGTTTTAAGAAATGCATCATTGGTAGTCCATTATGTCATTATGTGACTATGATGTTATAGCAGTTAAGATAGTACAGCCCACCGCACACGTGGCTGTATGGTGTGTACAAATGTCTCCCTGGATGCTGGAGGCAACCAAAATTCAATGGCAGGCACAATATCACTAGGGTATAGAAAGTTTTCAGCTCTGTTATAACCTTTAAGAATGATTTATTTATATATTTTTGTGTTTATGAGTGTTTTCCCTGTGTGTTTGTAAGTGCACCTTGCATGCAGTGACCATGGAGGCTAGAAGAGGGCATTGGACCCCCTGGAACTGGAATTATAGGTGGTTATTAGTCACCATCTGGGTGCTGGGAACTGAACCCTGGTCCTCTGCATGAGCAGTCAGTGCTCTTCACTGCTGAGCCATCTCTCCAGCCCCCAGTGCTATAATCTTAGACAGTTCCTGGTTAATTGTAACACCATTATACAGCATGTGACTCTACATGATATGGAAATGTATCATTGTAAGTATGACATGTATAATTTGAGCTACAGTACGATACAGGAAGGGACAGGTTCCAGGTAGGGTCTTGAGTCTTGGATGTGGACAAGGTGTTGAGGGAAGGGCCTTTAAAGGGAGTTTGTCTTTCTTCAAAGGATATTGAAGATATTGTCTCAGGAGCGGGGGAGGAGAGTGGGTACCATCCAGGAAGAGGGGATAGGTGGGTTTTGGTCACCTGTGAGGTGGGACAGTGAGTGCACACATGGAGGAGGGTACATGTTAAAGGCAACAGTGAGATGGACGCTTAAATGCTGGCTGCAGGGCTCAAGCAATAGCACCATACTGAGACTAGGTCACCTCAGCTTCTGTGAGGAGCACAAAATAGAGGTGGAGATTCTTGCCCTCAGTGAGAGCCCAAAGCGGGCATCGTATGGGAGCCCTGCTCCTTTTTCTGTTGGTTGGTGGTCTCTGCAAAGCTCTGCTGAGCACGGTGGGAAATACTGTCCAACATGGCTTTCAGCATGAAGGAAGAGTTTTTATTTGTGGGGACTGGTTTAGGCTGCCATTAGCCACTTGTGACTGCTGAGCCTTTGAAATGTGGCCAGTGTGGCTGAAGATTCATTGAACTGAAGGGTCAATAGTCCCTTGTGGCTGCCAGATTGAGCAGTGCAGAGGAGGGGCATTCCCACCTTCATAGATGACTCCACTGGGTGGTGCTAGTTTAGAGGGAGGGGATGAGCAGAATGCAGCCTTCTCTGTCCAGCAGGGGCCTCTGACCCCCTCTCTTCCAGATCCCTCCCCCGCAGATACCTTGGGCAGCAGTAGAAATATCTGTGAGAGGCAGTGATATCAGACCACAAGTGTGGGTGTGGCTGTGGGAAGGCAGGGAAAGCTGGGCCTGGGTGTTGGTCAGATTCCAGGTTTTCCAGAGGCTAATGTGTCCTAGAGCACAGAGAAGGTTGGTACTCAGGTTCCAGATGGGTAACATGAAGATAGTCATTTCATGCCCAGGTTACTGTACATGTGAGATTTTACATAGACAGTCCATGGCCAGTATCCAGTATACGCATGCTCTACAGTGCATGTTCAATATGTGCACAGTGCTGATAGTCCAATTTCTGTCTTTCCTAGAGGCATCTGGACCGAAGACAGCTCACATTTATATTCCCATTGGGCTCTCTGTAGTTGTCATCCTTTGCCTCTTCTTGCTCCTCTTCTGCCTCTACAGGCACCATCAGAAAAAGCAGGGTAGGTGTCTGGGATGGGAACTGCTTTGGTGGGCTGTTGAGGGTGCTGGGAACAAGATCTCTTTCTTAAACGTGGACTTCTGACTGTTCCCAGAGCTCCTAAGCAGCAAGGACCAACCACAGAGGCCTCAGGAGAGGTGAGACCCCTGGAATGACTCCCAGACTATCGCCCCATCCTCCGCCTCTAGCTAGCCCTTAATGCCCATCTGTTTTCCCTCAGGCCTAGCCCAGCTGTTAATGGTATGGAGAGGACACCAGGTAATGATGTGGGGAGCAGCGAAGGGGGACCCCAATGCATTGGAAGGCAAGGGAGAAAGAGAATGTCTGGGAACATTCTAGAGGGTCAGGTAGGGTGTGATGTGGTCATATTGTCTTCTAGTGTCCATCAAAGAGAGCTGACCCTGTGTCTTATTTTTTATAGACGTAACCAAAGCCGACAGACTTCCTGAGGACAGAGGGACAGAAGCTTTGGTAGGTCTTTGTATTGATCTTTTGGTGCTCCTAAACAAAGTGCCCCAAATTTAGCAGCTTAGCAATGTGGTCCCAGTCTCTTGGATGAAGAGTTGGGGACGGGAGGGTGCAGGAAGTGTTGACCAGGGTTGCAGTCACAGCATACAGGCCAGTGGGATGAATGATCCATGTCCAGGATGACACACTCTCTCATAACTTATGGGCAGGAGGGCTCTTCACAACAGCTGGCTTTCCCCAGAGGGAGCATCCAAAAGAGGAAAGGGTAGAAAGCACTCTGTCCTGCGTGGCTCACCTTGAAAGTGACATGCCATCACTTCTGCCTTGTCTATGGGTCATAAGACCAACACTGACACCACTGAGAGGGAGCCACAGGATGACATCACTACAACACATGGGGCCTTTGGAGTGGCCTCTGACTCCACAGCCCCTCCCCATCCCCTCAGCCACCCTAATTCTCCTGGGCCTCTCTCCTGCAGACCCCAGCTGTAGGGAGCCCTCAGGAGGTGACATATGCTCAGTTGGACCATGGAGCCCTCACACAACGGGAAGTTAGAGCTGTGTCCCTACAGTGTACAGAGACCATGTCCGAGTCCAGCGCCTATGCAACCATCATCATACACTGAGCCTGGCATACCTGGCCCTCTACCTGAAGGCACATGAGATCACTCTGGGAAAAGCCTGAAGAAGCCATTTGAGGTTTCCTCTTGGAATCATCTAGGCATGAAAAACCAGTAAATCAACTCTGCTGGAGACAAGGACTGGAGCCTGGACATTTCTATTCCACATCTAGGAGATGTGCTGAACAGGTGGTACCTTGCTGAGTGACCAGTCCTTGGAGAAGCTGTTACAGTGGCTGCCAGAGACCCAAGTACAGCCTCCTAGCTGTTTTCAGAAACAAGATACAGCCCCTAGATGCACCCACAGATCCAGTAACAACCTCCTAGCTGATTACAGAGACCCAGTTACAGCTCTTCCCTTGACTGATTCCGGAGGCCTAACTGTAGTTTCCCAGGCTGTTTCCGGTGACTCACAGTCCCCCCCAACCCCGGTTGTTTCTACAGACACATCCACAGTCGCCCAGATTATTTCATGAATAATACTCAGTTGTCCAGCAGTCCCTAGACCTTACTTGTGTGACAAAACCAGTGGATCCTGAAGATGTCCCCAGACTCCCCCGCTGTCTCTGTGCCTGGCTGTGGTCACACAGCTGAGTGTGGAGCCCCTTCTCCAGGTTGGGCCTCATGTGATACATCATGGATATTTTTGGAGAGCATCTACAGCCCTGTGTGGGTTCCTGGACACACAGACTCTGGGGACCCGGACTTCAGCTGCTCAGAAATGAGTGGGGGAAATGAGGGGTATAAAGGAGTGCTGATGCTTCCCATTTCTTTTAAAAAACCATGTAGTTGCTCCTAGCCTGCACTACTATCCTCAGGCCTCTTGGGGTAAGTCTATAGCGCAGTTCTCCGCACCGGGACTCCCTAAGCCTCATTCACCCTACCATCCCCTCCCAGCCCCCCCCACCCACTGTTC